GACATACCTTAAATACTTTCTTGCAAAAGAAAGAAAGAAAGAAAGAAAGAAAGAAAGAAAGAAAGAGAAAAAGAAAAAAGAAAAGAAAAAAAAAGGCAAGCTAACCATCACAAGGACTATCACCTCCTTTTGCTGGGGGAGGGTATTGCCTGGCTGCTGACGGCTGCTGACGGATCAGCCTGGTCTTTGGTGAAGGGTGGGGTGGCTGTGGCATTTTCTTAATAAAGTTTAATCCATTAATTAATTTTCCATTCTCTATAGCGTATGATGCTGTTTGATAGCATTTTACCCACATCACTCAACAGTCTTCACAGCATCTTCACCAAGAGCAGATTCCATCTCAGGAAACCACTTCTTTGTTCAACCATAAGAAGCAACTCCTCATCTGTTAAAATTTTATCACTAGATGGCAGCAGTTCAATATAATGCAAAAAAGATAGGATTATGCGAAAATTCCCAAAATGTGATAGAGACATAAAATGAGCAAATACTATTGGGAAAATGGCACAGGTAGACTTGTTCAGCACAGGGTTGCCACAAACCTTCAATTAAAAGAAAAAGGCAGTATCTGCAAATCACAATAAAATGAAGTTTATCTATATCTTGCTCTTAACATGCCTAGTAATGGGGTGTGTGTGTATTTTGAGGGGGCACAGACTTTATGTTTAAAAGAACCACAGGGGCTCCAGGTTCTGTTACCTTCTACCAGAGTTTCTCCTTTCCTCTGCTCGTTTGAGAGACTAATCACCTCAGTCCAGTAAGATTGAGCTGGGTCAGATCTCCACTGCATTTTTAATAAGCCTCAGTTTACCCTTGTTTAGCCTCTGTGTTTTGGGTAGGATTCTGCTGAAGCTTTTAAGTTGGAGGGCTTGGTAGGTCCTAATCTTCCTAACCTCCCAGCCCATGCAGCTTCAAATTTTGATAGTGTGGGGGGAGACTGGCCATATATCTTGGGCAGCCACACTCTCTAGTGGGCTTTTCACTCCTAAGCTCCAAAGACACTGCGGATACTTCACTCTTTTGGAAGCTTTTATTCTGGCTGCACAGCCCTAAATTCAGCAAATGTCCCGGGGGGTGGGGGGACCAGCGATATATCTGAAGATTCTCAAGTTGCTGTCCTGCCATTTCAGCTTCAACTGACCACAAAAACTCTTGTGATTTTCTCTCTGGAATTTTGGCCCATCTAGTCATCATTGTTTCCACAGCTCAATGATGCCTTTAAAAACAGGATTTTTGTATCTATGTGGTTGCTGCCACAATTCTGCATCCTATTTGGAAGTAGACTTTTTGAAGACATTATAAGTGCAGTTAAACCCAAGCTCATACTAACAACTTGCACTCTCTTGAGGAGAGACCAGTAAAAACTGCCACAGCCATGAGACAGGCACGTCTGCATGACAACTGCACGTCAGTGTGCCAGATGTGGAGAGCCATTCAGCTGTGCACTCCGAGGGACTGTGTACAAGATAATTATCCTGAAGGTCAACTCAATTAAACAAGGCTTCACACAGAAATAATATATGGAGTCATATTCCAGAAAAGACATCATGTGTTTTATGTTCCACTGAGGAAAGACCTCTTCATTGGGAGTATGATGCTTTTACAACGTATGGATAACTTAAAAAATGAAAGAAGAATGAAAGTCTCGTAACAGCCTTGACTGAAATAATGGTTGCAACCATGCCTGAGCTTATTTCACCAAATTTTACACATCTTGAATATGCAAACATAATAGAATTGTGTCTGAGACACAAACATTTTTTAAGATTTTATTGAGAGAGAGACAGCAAGTGAGAGAGAGCATGAGCAGAGGGTAGAGGGAGAAGCGGACTCCCCACTGAGCCGGGAGCCCGATGCGGGGCTAGATCCCGGGACCCCGGAATCACAACCTGAGCCCAAGGCAGACATTTAACTGACTGAGCCACCCAGGTGCCCTGAGATAGAAACAGCTTATACTACAAAGTTCAAAATGTTCGAGCAGGATGCCTACCCCTTCACACGTACAGAGATGGTCACACCATGTATCACCTGTTTCTTGTCTCAACAACACAAATAGGAACTGAAATATTACCTTCTAAAATGTAACATCATGCATTTCTACTACTGTTTGCTTTTATATCTTAGTGTATCTGGCTATTGTTACAGAATTTCATCTTAGGGGTGCCTGGGTGGTTCAGTGGGTTAAAGCCTCTGCCTTCGGCTCAGGTCATGATCTCAGGATCCTGGGATCGGGCCCCGCATCGAGCTCTCTGCTCAGCAGGGATCCTGCTTCCTCCTCTCTCTCTGCCTGCCTCTCTGCCTACTTGTGATCTGTCTGTCAAATAAATTCTTTTTTAAAAATCTTAAAAAAAAAACAAGAATTTCATCTTAAAAAACAGGCAACTTTTTTTACTTTTCTGCTACCTCTATAACGCACTACAGCTTATTTTTAAAAATCATTGTTAAATATGGAAAGACGAAACAGATTTGTGTGCTAAAATTCAGTGAAAGAAAGCAAATGTGAACCTTGCCAGCAACTTCTTGATATGACAAATATATCACATAATGAAAATGGCCACAAGCTATTTTCTTTTTTCAGTAGCAAGTCTCTTGATATCTCTTATTGTATAATCTAGAAATGATCTTTAATTTACTTTAATTAATTTAAATTTTAGGGGCGCCTGGGTGGCTCAGTTGGTTAAGCAACTGCCTTTGGCTTAGGTCGTGATCCCAGAGTAGCAGGATCGAGTTCCGCATCAGGCTCCCAGCTCCATGAGAAGTCTGCTTCTCCCTCTGACCTCCTCTCTCATGCTGTTTCTCAGTCTCCCTCTCAAATAAATAAAATCTTTTTAAAAAATAAAGCAAATTTTAATTAAAGTGTAAATTAAATGTATGTGGAGTCCACATAAAATTTAATTAAAAATTAAATTTTAATTAAAGTATAAAAATAAATATTTACTTTAATTAAAAATAATAGCACGAGCCCTTAGGTGGCTCAGTTAAGTGGCCAAACCCTGATTTCCATTCAGGTCATGGAATCAATCCCGGCACTGAGCATCTGCCGGAGACTCTCACTGCCTCTGCCCTCCCCCCGGCTCATGCGTGCATGCATTCTCTCTCAAACAACTCTCAAATAAATACATAAAAGCATAGTTATTTTCTGATGTATCTTTACCACAAATTAATTAGCTTTAGGATGAGTTACACAGTTGAGAATGATGTTTCATGAGGGGGATTTTAAAGGAAAGTTGCTATTTTTGAGAAAATGGTTCAAGCCATTTGGCAAGCTGGACCACTCCATGCACTGGCACTCCCTGCCTGACCACCCCCACCGACCTGATCACAGGCCTCTTGTCACCCTCTGGCCACCATTCTTTGACTCCTCCTTGCTCCAGTAAGGGTCACATTTGATTTAGAAATACAGAGCCCTGCTTACAAAAGGGAGAAAATAGATACTTCAAAAGATTATGGTTCTTCCTAGGTCCAGACCCAATTTTTTTTTTAAAGATTTTATTTATTTCTTTGACAGAGACAGATTACAAGTAGGCAGAGAGGAAAGCAGAGAGAGGAGGAAGCAGGCTCCCCGCTGAGCAGAGAGCCCGATGCGGGGCTAGATCCCAGAACCCTGGGATCATGACCTGAGCCGAAGGCAGAGGCTTTAACCCACTGAGCCACCCAGGCGCCCCCAGACCCAATTTCTTAATACAGAGGGAGAGAAGCTAGGGGTGCCTCGGCAGCTCAGTGGGTTAAGCATCTGCCTTCAGCTCAGGTCACAATCTCAGGGTCCTGGGATTGAGCCCGGCACGGGGTTCTCCATGCAGCAAGGAGCCTGCTTCTCCCTCTCCTCTGCCCCTCTCCTGCTCATGCTCTCTCTCACTCTCCCTCCCTCAAAAGAGCAGCAGTGGCAGGGAGGGGCAGAGCCTTCAAGGAAGAATGCAAGCCACTTCCCACTTCTACCAATTTTACTTCATTTCCTCAAGAACCGGAAGTAGGAATTCAGGCAGGAAGGTTAAACCACACCCTTTTCCTAAAAGAGAAAGCAAAGATGCCTAAATTCATGTTCTGAATGGAGGAATGGTAATCTCGGATGAGGATCCCATAGTTCCAAATCATTATATTCCTTTATGAATTCTTCAGGTCAGGGTCCAGTCAGCCCCATTTCTCATGAGACAAGTCTATGGCCATATCCCCGAATATTACAAACCTCCAAAATGATAAACACGTTTTTATCCAAAAAAGACCCCCCCACATGCGGCTAGGAAAAGTAACGCCTGCTACTCCATAGGAAAGGAAGGATGTGTACAATGGAACTGTTTTGGCAGAGACTGAGGCGTTGAGAAAATTACCAGGGAACGGCTATGTGTTACATCACAGTCAGCATGAAAGATGGTTGCCAGCCTCTCACTTGGTGAAAGATTCACCCATACTTAAAATATACTTAAATGAGGCACTTATTCAAGTACCAAACTGCATATAACCTATCCTAAATGCAAGCTCAGTCCTTAAAAGGAGGCAGATGCTTCCAAGATAAGATACACCTTTAACTGGGACATTAAAAAAATGGGCAAGGTGTACATGGAGAGTAAAAACATCATCTGGTTTATTTTGACAAATATGTGCTTACAAAAGTAATGTTCCCACTATAAGTGGATCAAAACAGGAAAACCACCTTGGCATTTCCTGCAACATACCTCATGTACATTTACTTCAAGCTAAGACAGGTCTAGTTACATTCAAGGATAAACATGAGTGAGCATAACCTTAAATCTAAACTCTATCTCAAAGTTAAAGCCATTAAGATATGAAAAATGTTTCTGTGACCATGTACGTTTCTACCAATGCACACTAGTCTTCACTGCTGATGTCGATACTGTGGTATTTGCATTTTCAGACTGATACATGCTATGGGAAAAAACTCTGCAAGTACCAGATTAATTAACTAAAAACCAAATATTTATTCATAGCTTTCTTTTCTGAGTTTGCTTTAAAACAAAAATACCGGCGCCCCCCAAAAAAACCTCCCCAACTCCCTCTAGCAGGACTTCTCAGAACTCAAGATCTTGCCAAACTCCTTATGACAGTTTACTCCCTGGTATAATTCTGCAGTTCTGAAATAAAGCAGAAAGTCACCCTCTATTCAGTTCATTTATAGGGTTGCTTTTTCTCTTGAGAGTATTTTCAGACTTAATAAATATTGCATGGTCCACAAAAACATCGCCAAATCGCTACATTTGCATGACTTTGCTTCATTATGAATTTTCTGATGTCCAGGAAAAAGGAAAACGACTCTTGCCCACACACTCTGTCCTGTTTGGGCTGACAGATGCAGAGTTGGGGCCAATTTCTCAATAAAAGCTTCCTCACATTTATTGGCCATGTGTCCTTCCCTGGTAGGAATTTACAAATGTCAAGTGAGGGAATCGTACCATATAGGTCTTCTCAGTACTGATTTCCTCTTCTGATGTTACAAAAAGAACGTGCTCATGGCTTTCCAACACATTCCTGGGCTCCTACGTTCCAGGATGTTGAAACAAGTATAACCCACCTTCTTCACATTCAACATATTCACTTAAGGCTTCTTTCCAGGAATCCTCTGAAGTCAAAGTAAGGCATTAACTATTTCTGCTTTTGTTTTGAATCCGTACATTGTTAGGTTTTCTCTGTAGTGCGAACCCCATTGTGCGCAGTAAGGAAGGAGTGGTAACTGAACGAATTCTCATACTCATAGGGGTTCTCTAGGCTATGTGTTCTCTGATGTTTGGCCAAGTTTGAGCTCCAGCTGAAGGACTTATTGCATACCTTACATACATAGGGTTTCTCCCCAGTGTGAGTTATCTGATGCAGAATGAGGGAGAAGCTCCGACTGAAGGTTTTATCACACTCAGTACATGCATACGGCTTTTCTCCAGTATGAATTTTCATATGTTGCATGAGGGATGCATGCCACGTGAAAACCTTACCACATTCGTCGCACTCATAGAGCTTCTCTCCAGCATGAATTCTCTGGTGTTTAATAAGGAATGAGTGGCAGCGGAAGGCTTTCCTACACTCATTACACTCATAGGGGGTTTTGGTAGCATGGGTGCTCTGATGCCGCGTAAGGTGTGAGGAACGGCGAAACGCCTTCCCACATTCAATGCATTCGTAAGGCTTCTCTCCGGTATGTGTGACCTGGTGGCGAATAAGTTCTGAGCCACTGCTAAAGGCTTTCCCACATTTCCTACAAATATACTGTTTCTTTCCTATATGAATTCTCTGATGTCGTGTGAGGTTTGAGGCACGGCTAAAGGCCTTTCCACATTCCGTACATTTGTAAGGTTTCTCCCCAGTATGTGTTCTCCGGTGTTCAATAAGGAATGAGAGGTAACTGAATGTTTTGTTACAGTCCTTACACTCGTGGGGTTTCTTTCCAGTATGTATCATCTGATGTTTCACAAGGTTGGAGATCTGGCTAAAGGTTTTGCCACATTCCGAACATATGTACGGTTTCTCTCCAGTATGAGTTCTCTGGTGTAACACAAGGGAAAAGCGCCGACTGAAGGTTTTTCCACATTCATGACATCCATAGGGCCTCTCCCCGGTACTGATACTCATGCGCTGCGACAGTGCTCCTTGATGAGAGGCTGACACTTGCCGGATACATCCCTGATTTCCTTGCATCTGAGTGTCCTCCTCACATTTCCAGCCTCCTTTAAAACTGGAGTATTCAGGGTCTTGGTTTAGGATTCTTTCCACTACCAAATACTGGGACGGGCCATCTTCATATATGACATTTGGAGAAAACTCTTTGATCTCACCCTTTGACTCTGAAAATAAAACAACAATTTTTTTTTTCTATACTGAGTAAAGCCACTCCACTTTTTCAATGAGGGATTAAAACACACACACACACCTCAACACTCTATGGCTTTCAAAGTTCTCATATAGACTGAAATCTGAGCAGTATGCCCGGAAATTCAGAAGACATCAGAAGAGAGATGAAACAGGACAGGGAACATCTGGGTGGCTCAGTCAGTGAAGCATCTGCCTTCAGCTCAGGTCATAATTCTAGGCTCCTGGGATCGAGCCCCATGTCGGGCTCTCTGCTTAGTGGGGAGTCTGCCTCTCCCTCTGACGCCCCACCCCCCACTTGTGCTTGCTCACTCTTGCTTGTCTTCTCTCTCGGACAAATAAATAAATAAAATCTTACCAAAAATACTATCAGGAAGATAAATACTTGGGAAGGATGTGTTTTCGTCTTTCTCAGCTCTACTTAAATTTTATTCGAGGCAAAAAGGACTTGAAAAAGACAATTTCATAATGCTGCTAATAAACTACACATATTCCTCAGGTCCCATAAAGACATCAGACTGTTCACTTAATGCCTTTGGAACATCTGACAGTGACTTACTTTAAATAAATAAGTAAAAGGAAATGACGGTCTATGATCCTCACTCGTACTCTACTTTGCGAAGTGATAACTGAAGCTCAACTTTGTTGTAACAGTGTCTTTCCATTAAATGCTTTTTTTTTTTTTTTAAGGTATATTTATTAGAAAGAGTGAGAGTCCACAAGCAGGACGAGCAGAGGGAGGGACTCTGAAGCAAACTCACTGTGGAATGTGGAGCCTGACAAAGGGCTTGATTTCATGATCCTGAGACCATGACCTGAGCCAAAACCAGGAGCTGTGCACTAACCCACTGAGCCTTTAGCAGTCGAACACCGGCCCTGATCTTCTCCAGAGGAACAAAACAGTACAAATATGAAGAATTTTTTAAAAATATATTCACTCATATCCTAATTCCTAGGAATATGTGGAGGTAAAAGGCCATGATGTATGCAATTTACTGTCCGATCTGGAAAAAAAAATCATATACCAAATGGTAAAATGAATGGGGCAAAACATTAGCAACAGGTGGATTTTAAAAAAAAAAAGATTTTATTTATTTATTTGACAGACATAGATCACAAGTAGGCAGAGAGGCAGGCAGAGAGGGGAGGAGGAAGCAGGCTCCCTGCTGAGCAGAGCCCAATGCGGGGCTCGATCCCATGACCCTGGGGTCATGACCTGAGCTGAAGGCAGAGGCTTTAACCCACTGAGCCACCCAGGCACCCCGACCTGTTTCTTTAATAGGTATATGAACAAAGCACCAAGAACTATACCTACATGGTAGGCACGTTAACATGAAAGATAAAGGTGGGGAGGCAGTAAAACAATAGTGAAGAAAATGGTCTCAACAGAGGTAAATCTTAAATTATTTTCCTGGCTCTTCTATAAACCAATTCCATATCTACTGAGCAAATCAGTAAGAGCCCTGGAGATATAAACGCACGAATTCTTTTCATGAGCAGAGAACATAAATAGGAAGATAAAGAGGACACAGAAGAAAATAATGGTATAAAAAAACAAGATAAGCTCATCTAGAAAGACTTCACTGCAGAAATTAGTTGGGAACAGAAATACAGCAAGATATATGAGGGGAGCATAGATACTTAATGGTATTAGGAAAAAGTAACTGGGGAGCCTGGGGGGCTCAGTTGGTTGAGCGACTGCCTTTGGCTCAGGTCATGATCCCAGGGTCCTGGGATCAAGCCCCACATCGGGCTCCCTGCTCAGTGGGAAGCCTGCTTCTCCCTCTCCCTCTGCTGCTCTGCCTGCTTGTCTCTCTCACTCTTTCTGTCAAAAAAATAAATAAAATCTTAAAAAAAAGAAAAGAAAAGTAAAAGAAAAAGAACTGGGGTTAACTGCAGAGATTTCATATACTACCAGCCATATGGTTTCACAGACCAATCCGAATAAAAAGCACAACCAAGAAAACCAGGTTCCAAATATGAATAGAATGCTAGTTATATATTTCTCATCCCGCTTCATTTCCTTAAAGTCACCTCCCCCTCCTATCACCTACACGCCCATACTCTCTTTGGTGAAGGTCAAATGGATCTTATATAACTTATTTATTATACTGATTAAAAGCCTAGAGAAATACAAGGATTCTTTTTTTTTTTTAAATTTTATTTATTTGACAGAAAGACACAGCGAGAGAGGGAACACAGGCAGCGGGAGTGGGAGAGGGAGAAGTAGGCTTCCCGCTGACCAGGAGCCGGATGTGGGGCGCAACACCAGCACCCTAGGATCATGACCTGAGCTGAAGGCAGACATTTAAAAACTAACACACCCAGGCACCCCCTTTATTTTTCTTTTAATGATTTATTTGTTTTAGAGAAGGTGTGTGCGAGTGGAGCGAGGGGCAGGGGGAGAGGAAGAGCAAATCTCAAGCAGACTCCACACCAAGTGTGGAGCCTGATGCAGGACTCAATCTCACAACCCTGAGATCACAACCTGAGCCAAAACCAAGAGTCACACACTTAACCAACTGAGCTACCGAGGCACCCACAAGGATCCATCCTTAACGTAAGGAAGGGTTCCTATGAGAAATCTGCAGCTAACATACTCAAAGCAAAACTCAAATGCACTCACTTTCTTCTAATGGAAAAAAAAAATTCTCTATCACCAATGTTACTTAAGACCATCAAGATAGTACTTAATGTAGTATAGAGAGAAAAAACCCACCAACCTAGAATTGTGTACCCTGAAAAACTATACTTCAGGGTGAAGGAGAAAAAAAGATATTCTGAGACAAAAACTAAGGCAACGTGTTACCAGTAGATATGGCTTGCAAGATCCAACATCCATTCATGAAAAAACTCAACAAACTAGGAATAGTGTGGAATTTCCTCAAGTTGCAAAGAACACCAAAAAACCTATAGCTAACACCCTATTAATGGTGAGAAATTTGAAGCTTTCCTGCTAAAACCAAGAACACTACAAGGATGTTACTTCACAGCACTGTTTTGTTTTTTTTTAAGATCTATTTATTTATTTCAGTGAGAGAAAGGAAGTGCAGGGGGAAGGGGCAGAGGGAGAGGGAGAGAAATTCCAGCAGACTCCCACACTGAGTGCGGAGCCTGACATACAGCTCAATCTCACAACCCTCAGGTCAGATTTGAGCTGAAACCAAGAGTGAGATGCTTAACCGACTACGGCACCCAGGTGCAGTTCAGCACTACTTTTCAATGCTATAACGGTTCTTAGCTAATGCAATAAGACAAGAAAAGTAAAAGGTATATAGACTGGCAAGGAAGAAGTAAAACTTTTTTTGGTAGATGACTCTATTATCTATGCAAAGAATCTGAAAAATTTTACCAAAAAAGTGGAGTAAGTAATTATAACAAAATTGCAGGATATAAAGTTAATGTATAAAAGTCAGTCTTTCGGGGCACCTGGGTGGCTCAGTGGGTTGGGGCCTCTGCCTGCAGCTCAGGTCATGGTCCCGGGGTCCTGGTATCAGGTCCCGCATTGGGCTCTCTCCTCAGCAGAGAGCCTGCTTCCTCCCTCCCCCTCTCTCTGCCTGCCTCTCTGCCTACTTGTGATCTCTGTCAAATAAATAAATAAAATCTTAAAAAAAAAAAAAGTCTTTCCCATATACAAGCAATGAACAAAGGAAGGCTGAAACTGAGACATTACTGTTTACATTAACATACAAAAAATTAAATACTTAGGTAGAATTCTAACAAAACGTACCAGATTTATACGAGGAAAACTACAAAACTCTGTTGAAAGATACGAAGTTAAGAACTAAATGGAAAGGGGTGCCTGGGTGGCTCAGCGGGTTGAGCCTCTGCTTTTGGCTCAGGTCATGATCTCAGGGTCCTGGGATCGAAACCCGCATTGGGTTCTCTGCTCAGCAGGGAGCCTGCTTCCCCCTCTCCCTCTCTGTCTGCCTCTCTGCCTACTTGTGATTTCTTCCTCTCAAATAGATAAATAAAATAAAATAAAAAAAGAAAAGAAAAGAACTAAATGGAGAAAGAGAAATTCCACATTCATAGGAGGATTAAATGTTGTCAAGATGTCAGTTCTTCCCAACTTGATCTACAGATACAATAAAATCCCAAAAAGTAATTTTATAGAGCTCAACAAAGTGATTTTAAAGTTTATATCAAGAAGCAAAAGACCTACAATACCTAATGGGATACCAAAGGAAAAGAACAAAGCCATAAGCCTGGCACTACCTGACTTCAAGACTTACTGTAAACTGACGGTAATGAAGATGGTGCGGTACGGGTGAAAGATGAGACGATCGGATCAACAGAGCAGAACAGAGAGCTCAGGAACGGAGCTGCCTAATTAAACTCAACTGATCTCTCAAAAGGCGACAAAGAAAACACAAAGGAGCAAAGATGTCTTCTCAACAAACGCTCCTAGAACAACTATGCATCCACATGCCAAAAATGAATTTAGACACAGACCTTACACTCTTGACTAAAATTAACTCAAAATGGATCATAGACCTAAGCCTAAAACACAAAAATATAAAACTCCTAGAAGATAACATAGGGGGAACCTAGATGACCTTAGGTATAACAATGACTTTTTAGATACAACAACCAAAGTCACGATCCAGGAAAACAATTGACAAACTGGGCATCATTAAAGTAAAAAAGCTCTGCTCTGCAAAAGCCAACATCAAGAGAATGAGAAGACAGGTCACAAACGGAGAAAATATGTGCAGAAGACCTGTCTAATAAGACTTGGTATCCAAAATATACAAAGAACTTTTAAAACTCAACAATAAGAAAATGAACAATATACTTTAAAAATGGGGAAAAGGCCTGAACAGCAACATCACCAAAGAATATATAGACGGCAAGAATATGGAAAGATCTTCAACATCACATGCCATGAGAAAATTCTAAATTAAGGGTGCCTGGGTGGCTCAGTGGGTTAAGCTGCTGCCTTCGGCTCGGGTCATGATCTCAGGGTCCTGGG